TTTCTCATAATAACCGCTAAAAACTAATCAATTTCTCAGTCATTTCTAAAGTTTTTGTATTCATAGCAAACGATTTGAGCTAAAAATAAATGCATTTACAATAATTAATATTTTCCAAAGCATTAATTGAGTAAAAAAGTAAATCAAAACAATTCATAAATATATAAAACAAATTGTGAACAAATATGTGACACAAGTATTGATTGAAATGACAGTCAGATTGTGAACACATTTGTCGGCCGTCTTATAACACTCGCTCTCTCAATGGGTTTACAATAACACACTTTAAAGACGTGACACTACAGAGAGGGGGAGGAATGCATAGTTCGATAGGTATTGTACAGTATTGTAGGCAAAAGGGGAGCACATATTGTAATAATATGTAACGTTATATTTGTAGTGTTTGTGTGCAGTTTGGGTGCATTTTGGCATTCATTCACATATTATTGTCTATTATTTGTAATTCACATTCAATTCAATACACGCTTTCGTTATTAAAATGATTTAAAAGTTATTTTGATTTTGTTTTTGGTTTCAAAATATTATTATTTATTACAAAAAATATACACAAATTGTGTTTAAAATTGATTTAATAGTGAAGTGAATGATAAATGTATTTATGAAACATTGATATGCAATACAAATGACAAACAAATGTATATTTTAACGATATTTCGGCTAATTTTGTGACATTTGTTATGAAAACAAACATTGAATTGATTTTTGGATTTAATGTTTAAATTAATGACAAATAAAGACAAACGAAAAGCGATTAGAAGTTTACAGAAATTTAAATGTTTTTAATAAAAGTGGAAATAATTTATTAAAATAATTATTGACACAAAACACAACTCAAACATCACTTTGTCTTCAAATGTCATCAAAGCATCGGATGATGGGATCAAACAATGGCACGAATGGCGACGGAATCGATAACTCGAAGACTAATCTAATCATCAATTATTTGCCGCAACAGATGACAGACCAGGACTTCCGGGTTCTGTTCGCACAGATCGGTGACATCCGGTCGGCGAAGATTATCCGCAAGAAAGCCACGGGTTATTCGTATGGATTCGGTTTCGTCGACTATCTCCGGCCCGAAGACGCCGAGAGAGCCATTCACTCACTTAATGGCCATTTGGTTGAACACAAGAAGATTAAGGTTGCGTTCGCGCGGCCGTCGGGAGAGAGCATAAAACAGGCCAACCTTTACGTCAAGAATCTTCCGACCAATTATAGCGAACACGACGTCCGCGAACTCTTCGCTCCCTTCGGGGCTATCATTCAGTGCCGAATCGTCGGCAACAGAGGCGTCGCCTTTGTTTTGTACGATCTTCACGAACAGGCGATCGCAGCCATCGACCAAATGAATGGCAAAGTACTTCCCGGAGCCGTCGCCGGGCTTAATGTCAAGTTCGCCAACGATAACAACCAAAAGGTTTTTAATCCTTTTATTAAATTATTATATCAATTAACTGTTTATATATATAACAGTTATACTCTGTTAGTACTTAAACTCATTTAATATTTACCGCTTTATTAACTTATAGTCTGATTGTCAGCTGTTTTGACAATCCATAAGAATCTTATGATAAGATTTGTAAAAATAATACTGAAATTTAATACTTTATAAGTGAATAATTATATGAATGTTAGAAATGTTTATTAAATTAATTATGATTTTAAAAGTGAATTTATAGTACAGTCATTTGACAGCACATCAAATAAATGTAAATACAGTGTCTGTACTCACGAGTTAGATGTCAATCAAATCTCAATTTTAAATATTTAGGTATAGTTATGAAAATGTCATCTCTTTTAATACAACAGATTTATTAAATAATTTAACAGTTTTTATACAACTGTTGAGAATATAGTTAAAACTTAAGCAAACTTTTAATAATAATGATATAACTATTTATTGTTTAATAATTGAATTTTTAATACCAGAATCGGAACTCAAATAACAACCCGAAGAGCAATCGGGGCTCAGGAAGTCCTTACGGGGCGTCGAGGGGTTACTCATACTCTCATATGCCATACGAAGCTTACACTTCTTCGGGACC